GAACGTGGCCTATTATGAACCAATCAAGTCCATCGATTTGAATCGAACCAAGCGTGTGTGTTCGTCTGTGAGCGTATTTGAACAAGGCAAATAAAGTATCTCCCTGATGTTATATTTTTTTCATCATTCAGGCAACTGAGTACAAGTCTCCTTTCCGTTGAGTTAATGTATGAAAGAAAATTTCTCTTTTCTTCACAGGGCAAAAGAATAGTGGGTGCGACATGCTCAACGGACATCGCTCAGCAGTATTTGCTTTCAACCGCCATAAACCCTGCCAGCGGTCATTTATTTTACTACTGTAAGTGTTATGGACATTATGACTCTGTCCCGCGAAGTGTGGAATGCACCATGCATTACTGGGTGTGCCCGCTGACAACTTAAAGTCTACCGATGACATGGTGTACGGAGGATGTTGAGTCCAAATCATCTCAAGGAAAAAAATGGCGACTGCACGTTTTATCACAATGCCATGCATATCTTACACGGCAAACCATTAGGTGGAAGGAAAGCCGCTAAGAGTTATGTGTAAATGTACCAGTAACAATTTCTTTCCTACGCAGGATTGGAAGACAGTGTTTATAGTATTTTGAATCGGTAACTCCCGCTTGTTATATTACCGATTTTCATGTGAAGTCATCATTTTCCAAAACTAAAAAATACCAATCGTTCTGGAATTTTAGTTTCATCGCATGTAAGACCTTCTAATCACTTAACGTTTAACAAAGTTTTTGTTCGACAGAGTTCCTCATTTTGAGATAGAGCACGTTTGAATTTCCAAGTTTATGCGTTGCATGACATTAAAGTGGCGGCCCGACAAAGCTCTCACGTAGATCAAAAGATGGGTTAGCGCTCAAGTTTTTGCTAACTGAACAGTTCTTTACACAAGAAGAAGTATTAATTTCAATGCATCGAAGCTCTAGAGTAATGATATTCTTTAGTTTCCTTCTTATTTAGCCTTTCTTTCATTCTTCAGTGCTGAATGGAGCGTATGCACATGACGTAATGGCAGCCATATTGGTGTTCCAAAACAAAACGGCGGCCATGTTGGTGTACCAAACCAATCCTGTAGGGGTTTAACTCTTTTCTTATGTAAACACTTTCGTTTGTTCCAATAAATTTGCATGGCTGCTGGACACGTGAGTGCATAAGCTCTATTTGGTTTACACATATTCTTAAGTATCGATCGCTATCTGCGCATAGCATAGAGTTATTTAACAGACAAAACGCATTGCACTGAGACTTGCATGAACATGGCTTACGTTTTCGATACCGCGAATGTTGAATGCAATCCATGTATGACCATGAATATGTCGAGTTTCTCCGAGTTAATCGCTTACGGGAAGAGTTTATATGATTAATACGACGTTAATGATTTAGTCTCTACCTTTCAGAATTGAGCATACAAATATTTAGGCTAACAAATATTAGGACGACTGCGATTCTCTCTTCCACCAGAATTTAGTCAATAGAGGGGAATGGCTGTGAAGCCCGACTAAGTTCTTTGTTGTATGTTCTGTTCCCTTGACTCTGTGTAAAACGCAATAGTTTTTGTGACCAGGGAACTGACAAATAGCAACGTTTCGGTTACTTAATTCGTGCTTAATGTCTGAGCACGGAGCAAAAGATCGTGCACGGTCGTGGAAGTCTTGGTATCTTTGTTTGCTACTGTGATATTTTTCGGAGCCTTAAAACCATTCACCTCTATAAACTTTGATTTGATTGAATATTCAATCCTTTGATTATTCAAATGGAGTGTAGTCATCGTTTAACAGAGTAAATTGCAGAA